AGGTGATTGATGAATATGCCTAAATAAGTTACTATTGCATTGAAAAGACTTAAAATTAAAAACACTCATGACTATGTAGGTGACCTTTTTGGCATGGATGATTCAACAAGGATAGAAGTTTGTAAGCAATTTATTATTGCTTTAATTAATATTTTTTTGTCTTTAAATTTAAATTAGCTTAAAAAATAAAACTTAGGTTTAAAAGTATTCATGGCATACCACAATGTTGTGGTGCTCTTGATTGTTTTCATCTCTTATTTTTTTTGTTAGCAAGTTCTAGATCAATAGATTGGTATGATATTGATCACAACTAATTTACAATAGTTTAAGCCATTGTAAATCACAAAGACCAATTTATAGATTTTTTGTAGGCATTCTCAGATTAGTATATGATTCTCATGTAGTTCTAATATCAAATCACTTCAAAGATGTGATTGTAATAAGAAGATTGAATGGAACAAGAAAAAAATTCAAAGTGTAGATATTATTGAGTTGATTGTAGCCAATGCAAGATATATTGGTGATAAAAATTTGCTTGTACCTTAGCTTGAAATCCAACTTCTTGGATTATGTGATGAATTTAAATTTAAACACTCATTGATACATATGGTAGTTGAGCATTTATTTAGAAATTTGAAAGAAATGTGGAAAACTTTGAAAAATCTTATCATTAATCTTGATTTGAAAAAAATTCCTAGCTTGATATTGGCATGTTGTTTGCTTCATAATACTATCATTGACAAAAATAATCTCATTGATGAGTCTATTGTTCTTTGGAGACACCACAACTTAGGATGTAGACAGAAAGTAATGAAAAATGTACCCTAAAGTGATAGTAAATAATTGATAATGGCAATTATAAGACATTTGTATCAATTAGAAGCAATGCCTTTCAATGAATAAAATTTGAGACCTATTTTGTTACATAATAATTTTCAATTCAAATATCACATCTATTTTTATAATTATTAACCAAAAAAACATCATAGAATGTATAAAAAAGCATCTCTTAAATGTAATATTATTCTCAAATTGTTTATTTTGGAGAAGTAATCCATACCATGAATTTTATGTATTTTGTTTATAGAAATAAATCATAAACAATAGCTTAAGTTACGCAATCTTAAAATTACCAAAATTTAAATCCCAATCGTAAAGTAGATCTTCTAAGATTTCAAAAATGATCAAAATCAATAAAAATGAACTTCATATACAAAAGATATGTCAAATCAAAGTTTTCGTGTGAAATTGAGGTTCAAACTTCATTTTTTAAGTTGGTCCTTGGACTTGTACATATGATTTTTAATTTTAATTTTAATATTTTTTTTTTCATCCTCAATAGAACCAGACCCTATTTTGATTATGCTTTTCATTGCTAAGTGCCATTTTGAAAATGATATCACACTTAAATATTGGATAATTTTTGTGAAAGTTACATGCATATGAAATAAATTTTCATCCACAACTACAAACAATATGTAACACAAAATGTATATGTGTTACAATACATGAATTACACAAATAAGGAGGGTAAAAAAAAATCATGTTCATGAATATTGTGCATGTAGGCCCCAAGTTTCACCCCCTTACATATGGAAATGAAAATGGGTGGACTTTGCCTTGCTTGGATCACTGGGTGTGGGCAAAGTCCAATATTAACATTGCCTACCGATCAAGCATGGAAGGAGGCCATAAGTTGATACTTTTTCGATACTTTGTCAAACTCTTTACTGCAGCAGTTGTGGCTAACCACGCTTGGCACATTCTCCTTCAACTCTTGCACCGATTATTTCATAGAGAGAGGCTGGTAAAATGCCCTTTGGAAACTCCTTTTCGCAGTGATTTGTGCATGATTGATGGTAATCATGTGTATCAGACCAGTTCCTCGGAGCTACTTCTTCTGTAATGGCGGACGTGTTAGTTGTTAACGCGGGTTTTGTGTCTCTGATTGTGTCTGTAATTATGTCAGATGCTTTCAGACAAGGTATTTTGGAGGGGTCAGAGAAGGGTATTACGAGAGAGAAATTGGGTTGTGCACGTGTTGAAACGCGTTCTCCTTCCCAAGACGAGAGTGAGCAATTGCCGTCGGCAACTGAGAGGGTTCGAGTTCCTGAAGTGACTCCCGAAGGTGGCCGGAGCAACCCACAATTGAACCCCGGAACCCTCCCGGGATTCCGTTCCAAGACCAAGAATCTTCCTGTTGTGAAGCATGTCATCGATGAAGGTACAGACCATCCCACAAGCACAAATATCTTCTCCGTCACTTCTAGCACGGCTAGCAGAGCGTTGGAACCCATCCCCATTGACCAGGTGCGACAGAATTCGCGCTACCAATTTCCAGATAAGGCGGCACAAAAGGGACCAACTCCGTCTCGTACACGCGATATTCGCCTGAAATTCGACCACATGGTTGTCTTTTCCTTCTCAGAGGATCCGAAAGTACTTCGACCCATGTGAGAGAATTTAAGAACCTCTGGCAACTTCAAGTAAGCAAAAAAACCTTCTTAACGTTAAATTTGATTTGTGGGTCAACGCGCAATCACTTCTGGGGGCACACACTGTCTCCGGACTACAAATCGGCACAAGCGAGGCCTCAAATTGATTGGAAGAGACCACACCAGCTGCACAAAACTCGTCGCTACCTTCAATTGAGACCCCTTTGCGCGCCACCGGGATTGTGCCGAACGACGGTGGGTGATGAACATCCGTGTTACATCCATGTTTCGTTCATTCGACCTTACTTTTACTTTATACCTCTCTTTGCTTTTTTTGAGTCTTGGGTCTTGCATACAATAATGATAAGCTTGCATGGCTACTTGTTAGATATTTGTAAATTTCTTCCACTCCCACCCTATTAGGAGGTTTCAAACATGTCCTTTTTGGGTGATATTTTATTCCTATTTCAAAATATCACTTAATAATTCATCAAATCACCCACCTTAGGAAGTGGATGATCTTGAAATTGAAATATCAAAAGTAGGCGAGTCAAATATCAAAAACCGTGTTGTTTGCTTTAGCTCTTTTTCCTCTTTGACTCCGTACTAGGGGAGTAATAAAGTTTGAATTAAGGGATAATATCAAATGGTATTAAATTTTTAAATAGTGATATTTTGGATTTGATATTTTAAGTGATTCTCAAAATATCAGGTTTTGAATCTTTATTATTTGGTTTTGCAAAAGTGCTATGATTGAAACTCCCTATTATACATAAAGTCTAAGTTAATTTTGGAAATGATTTGTCATAGCTTGCTCACTTAGTGCAAACTTCCAATACTTTGTTTGTGTAATTGGAGCATCATAATAAATTACATAAAATTATTATGTTTTGAACAAGTTATAAATTTAAAAAATTGCACTTAAAGTGGCACTCTTAGTTTTCATGTAGCTAAACATAAATATACAATGTATTCAAAATATGATTTTTAATTAGGAATATTTTTTATTTTGTGATCAAGTAATATAATTATAAAAATTCATGTGATTCTAATCCTTGTTAATTCTTTTTCTTAAGTCAAATTAATATTGGAATACCTTAAATCAACAACTCAAGGTATTTCAACTATTAGTAGGGGGATTTGTTTTAGAAGAATATATATTTTTGAATGGAGAAATAAGATTCTAATATGCTTCAAAAGAAAAAATTACAAAAGCAATAGTGGTTTAATTGATATAAAATTTCAAAGGACTTTACACTTTGAGCCCTTGAATCAACACATAGATTTGGCCAAAACTGTCTATAAAAATTTATTAAACCACTATTTCCATCACATTAAACTACCAATTCTACCACATTAAACCACCAACTTCATCCTTGTAAAGTTTGCCAATCATTGGTGGGCTTAGAATGGATTTGGAATCTTTCTATGGGTAGCTTCTGATAAGGTCTATGGGTTGGTTTAGGAGAGTGACACAATTTAAGGTATTTTGACATTACATGTTGTAGTTTAGATGTTAGTGTATGTGCTTTGAAGCCATTGATTAGCTTATGATGTTTTATTGTTCTTGTATGTGTGTACATATATATATATATATATATTTATATTTATCTTATAATATTATTGTGGTTTTATATTGTAGATGTCAAATCATGTTTTGATCATCATAAGTGTTTGAAATTACATATATTTTAGATAAACTCTTTATCTTTTTGAATACACAAAGGTTGTATTTTTTTCACTCTTCATAAAAATAACCAACTTAATATATTCCATGTATTTGACTACATATTAAAAATTTGTATCACTCCTTCAGTTGCATATACATTCTATTTTTATCGTTCAAAGGCATCAAACACAAAAAGCTTGATATACATCTGTTAAATTTTGCTTATTTATTTATTTTATTTATGTCCATGTAAAATGGTATGCATACACAAGGATGTTTGAAATCTTATGTTGACATTGTTTCATAATTTACCAATAAGCAATCAAAGTTAGTATAGTAAGATAATGATCCAGCCTGATAAAAATTATAGAATAAAATGAGGTAAAACTACAACCCAACGAAGATGACTTATATATATATATATATATATATATGAGAAGGTATCATTGGTTTGATAATTTGATAACTATTTTCGGATTTTGAAAGACAAATTATTTTCACTGTTATTTCACAGTCCAATAATAAGTGCAACGAGGACCTTGAACCATTCTCAATAATTGTGCAAGGCCACGCCATGCCATTCGAAACCGACGAACAGAAAATACATCTCCAACGAAAGGCAGCGACTCCGACTCCGACTTCGTTCGTCGACGTTGACATTTGCCGTCGTCGTCGTCAACGTCGCCGATCTCATCACCTGCGTGGGGAGCCACGCGCCGAACTTGGCGGTGGAGTTCCAGTGCAACTGCTGCTGGCCACGCCATCGACTTGGATTGGGCTACAGAAATTTTATCGCGTCTTGCCAGCGAATTACTCCCTTCCTTCTCAGCGGGAAGCCGAGTTACTGATCCTAAATGGGGACATGCACTGTAATCTTGTGCCCCAGGACTTTCTGCTTTGCTGACTTTTTTGTTAGCCGAGATGCGAGAAGCGAGATGCGGTGGTCTCGGGTGCCACATCCCTGGCATGCGACCAGGTTTTTATTGTCATCGCGTTTCAAGTCGTCGTTTTCTTCCCCTGAGAACCTATGTGTGTGAAAGTTTCATGTTGTCGTTGTCTTGTGTATTGTCGTGCTTTTCCGCCACTGTGGCTCAGGAGGGAGCTTTTCGGGCTTGGGCGTGAGCTGCACAGATGATTTGGGAGACCGGTTCTCGTGATTCTGTTGCACCGTAGCTGCTTTTTACATTTGCAAAGAAGAGAGAAGCAGTGGGGGTTGGACTTCCGTGGTTGAAGCAATGGGGACTCGTGGCGCTGGAGGTTTATCTCTGTTACTGGGGTTGTTGTTGGGTGTAACTGTTGCTGTGTTGGTTCTCGCTCTTCCGGTCTCTAGCCAAGCTACGAACGTAGGATGTGCAGCGGATCTGAAAAGCAAAGTTACTAAGTTTCAGACTCAGAGCCTCCATTGCAAGGCTTACAACTTCCCAGCAATTAATCCTTATATTATATGGGTACGCTGTTTTCCTCCCTTGGGATACTTTTATGCGTGGTCTTGTCAGTGAAAACCAGACTCTAGATGTTCGTCGTCATAGTTGGAAAGCGCTCTTGAGTTCTGTCGATGTCTTAGCGCGAAGTTCTTGTTGTATGTCTAGGGGACCTTGCTGAAATTGGAAACTGATCGTGAATTGCACAGTGTGAGGCTATAGCTTACCGTCCGTGGAACCATTCCTTCTTTGATTTAAGTAAAAAGTTCAATCAGTAGTTTTTGTTGACAAGCATTTTCTTCGACTTGGGATGGACGATTAGATTTCAAGCTGGAATAGGCTTTCTTGGTTTCAGTTCTTCAGCCCGTCATCTCGTGTGGGGTTTTAAATAATCACATGCCTCTCCTCCTTCTGTCTGTCGATGAACAGTGGTCTCTCCGATCCTTCAAATTGTTATTTCGTTTTCTACGCAATATCTGGTATGCGATAGTATTCATGTCGAGTTGGATGACAACCAGGCCTTGAAAGACAATGTCACGAATATCACATCCATGGTGGTGTCAATGCCCTTAAGTCCAAACCAATGGGCGGGGCTTGGGTTCTCGGCAGACGGGCAAATGGTAGGCAGCACTGCATTGATAGCTACATTATCGTCCTCCGGAGTACCCATTGTCAAGGTGTACAAGCTCAATTCTAGGTCAACATCGGGAGTGGTCGAGGATGCATCAGGGCTAAGCTTTGTAGGGGGTCCTGCTGATGCAGTCTACGACCAAGGCAGGACAGTTTACGTTTCCTTCCAGCTGAACTTGGCCAAATCAACTGCAGGGTCCAGATTCTTTCTCATGGCATACGGGCCCACCTCACTAGATGGCCAAGGGATTTCACAACATGTCGATAGAATTTCCCTCAGTGCACAGTTTGTGACAGGTACATGTTTCTGAATTCCACGCATATACACACACTCACACCTTGCTCGACCTCTAAGGTCGAACTTCATTAGTGTTCAGGAGTGTATATATCTGAATTCGTATTGCGGCAGGACATGGGCATGATATTGGCTTCAAACTCTTCTGTCTGCAGGTGTCATGGCTGGAGAATCTACTGCGTCCAAATTGGCAAAGAAGAGCAAAATCCATGCTTCACTGCAAATATTGGGCTGGGGTTTACTCTTGCCAATTGGTGCCATGGTTGCGCGCTACGCGCGTTCGTTTGATCCGGCCTGGTTTTACACCCACATCGCGTTTCAGTTCGTTGGATTTGCGTGCATAATTGCAGGACTAGTCACTGGGTTTGAGCTACTAAGCCATTTTCAGCATGATCACCTCACAGCCCACAAGTGGATTGGAATTTTTATCACTGTCGTAGCCTTTGGTCAGGTACCGTGTAAATTCTACCTGCAGTACATGAAAATGACTTAATCTTTTTCTTTTCTTGGACAAAGTAGCCTACTATGGTAGTCATTGTTTGTGTCTAATGGGTTTCACTCACCAAGAAAACCTTGGTACTTGCAGTTGAGTGCGTTATTGTATCGCCCACACAAGGATTCCAAGCGGCGCAAGTACTGGATCTGGATGCACTCATGGTTTGGCCGCATGGCGCTTTTCCTCGCTGCCGTAAACATCTTGCTGGGTCTGTGGATGGCTAAAGCCGAAAAGGACTTCAGAGTTTCGTATATTGCCATCCTGATCATTGAACTCGTGGCCTTCATCTTTTTGGAACTTTTTCTGTGGGTGCGATGGTATAAGCAGCAACGGCGGGACCGGCAATCATCTAACGCAATACCGCCTTTCCAGTTTGGTGGAAGTGTATAAACTATCTTATTAGTCCGAGCTCAATTGACCTATTGGTTGAGTAGGTGTGCCTTGTCAATCCAGCATGTTGAGGGGCTGGTTTGTGAAGGGTTTTAGATTTTTATTTATTGTTTTTTGCTTCACTGTTTCCATATTAGCTGACATATAACAGAATTCTTGTAACAAAAAACTTTAAGGTGTAAAACTCACCGTTGTTGCAGCTAAAATGATTCTTCCTCCCAAGTTCCCTCGGACCTCACCAGTCTTGCAACTTGGTCGGAGTGTGCACAGACGTGAAATGGAATTCCCCACAACAACAAGAAAAAAATGGCTGTTGGCATGTAGAACTGCTTGAACCTGATAGTCACACATCCACATTACTTCATGCTCGCGTTGGCATGCTCCTGGTTGCAAGTGACTCAACTAAATTCCGAGTACTTACAGTCTTGCGTTAGCTCCAGTTGCAAGTCTCACGTGCACGCACAGCTAATTTGTGAAAACTCTCATCAATATTTGCGCAGAATCTTAGATGACAAAGCAACCTAGAATCGAGGTTGTTTGATTTACCATTCCATTGTATTTTTTCGCTGTGAACTGACACATGTTGGACACAAGACAAACGTAAGAACGTATGTTCAAGCCGTCATTCCAAAATTGCCTTCACGTCTGGTGAGCCATCAGGATCTGTAGCAGCTGGAGTGCGTAAGACTTGCACCTGCTCTACGTGTACATGTCGGACTTGTCGAGTTTGAGGACGGCATGTGCAGACCACACGCAGCTGAACTCTGGCTTGTGTCCACATCCGCTTGCTTGCTTAAGTTTCGAGTGACGAAGGAGAAACAAGAAGTGCAGACGTAGGAATCGTAGTCATGAATTAAAAATTAGGGTTTCCTCTTCTTCTCTCTGAAGGTTTTGTGTGTCGGAGAGATTTAGCGAGCCACGTTTTGTAGAGAAGCTCTGAGGGGGGGCCAGTGATGGGCTCCCTTTGGTAGTATCCGGTGGCGTCGGTGGTGCTGCAAGCCGTGGGTCCACCGAAGAATGTGAACGTCTTTGTGCGACCCAAGTCGGTGGGCCCTTCGCTGCTCCTCCTGGTCGGGTGCTATTTCAGTTGAGCTTTTTCTTCTTGTATTCGTGATGATTTTGATGCAACTGAAGTGTTTTTGTAAGAAATTACGTCGTGGAAATCCTGGCGCGCCTGTAGATGAAATGCTGAATCTCAACGCGAGCAGAGTGACGGTATTGTTTAGACGGCAGTGGGTGGTTTACGTGATCGGGAGATCTGCTGATGGTTCACGTTGTAGTTTAGAAATTCTGAGAAATCTTTATTTTATTTGGAATTGTTACACTTTGCATCATCATCGCAGCGTATCTTCGCTAGTTCGCTCAAGTATTGTAACCTTGCAACACTCGTCCAGCTCGTATTCTGAAGAGTTTACATTATCAATGTCGAGCAAAAGGGAATAACCGCCAGACCTCACATCTGGGTTTAAGGCGCAGTTAGAAGGCCCTTGTCAAATGTTTTTCAAAGGTGCCATATATTGCAAGGTTTTCTATATCTCTCAGTTCTGGTAAAAAGAAGAAACAGGCCGACGTTTTCGAGTTTCACCATATCTACACTGAATTCGCTGCTATCCTATACAGGGCACTCGGAATCCCATGCTTTGCTAAACTTCATTTGAGGATGATAAAATTGATCCGCTATCACTGGGATATCAAGCCAATGTGGGTTTTGTCTTCGTTTTCAAATGAGATCTTCTCTCCTACAGGGATTCGTCGAGTGTATTGTTCGTCCTGGACTGTCTTCTGCCTGGGAGGAAGTCGCTGAAAGATGTTCAAGCAATGGCAGTGGAGGTCCAGTCAATCTGAAAGGTTTTAGGGTTGAGCTCGCTCTTAAAAACATGGAATATAAGGCTGTTAATGACAGTGAAGTAGAGAAAGGGACTTTTCTTTTCGTGATATCTCTTGTATATGACAGGCCTTGATTCATGAGACTTACATCGTCGTCCCGAGTACGTGGGATGACTGTTTCACCTGTTTGTATCTGAAATTTGAAGTGTGTGTAAGGGTTGCTTATCTATCGATATAATCTTCTCACTGCAAAGGCGCCTTTCCTCGTTTTGAACTTGTACCCTACACAGGAGACGGGGGGGGGGGGGGGGGGTGTGAGAAGCGTGGACAGAAGACTTGAGCCAGGACTTCCAATGCTCAATTTTGAAAAATGTCTTGTTTTGAGCAGTGTGGATATCTGGCGGTTTTATTACCAATATCTGTCTTATTTGGATTGATTGGACCACGTTATTTGTGATTTTCTTGTTAGGTCCCCAGTGAGACCTTGTCTTAGCCTAAAGTTATATTCTAGGAAATGCTTGTTATAATCGTTTGTCGTGCAGGACTGCAAGCCAGAATTGTTATGATAGTTTTTAACCTATGAAATTCATTTTTTATCCTCCTGTGTTGCTGTTAACGGTAATGGGTAGGAGCTCAAAGGTGACTTTTCCACCCCGGCATTAATATTACACCAGCGTTTAGAAGAAGAGCGATATTTAGGTGATAATTTATTTTCAGGTTGTAAATGCTGCAGTCGAAGCTATGAACGAGGGTCTTCCAGGGCTGGAAGTGGGTGTGCATTACGATACCATCAACCTACGCACGGACATCCCTGAAAATTTTCTATCTGAAGAAGGCAAGCCTCGCTATAATTCTTAGGTGGGAAAGAGATTTGATTTTTAGGATTTGCTTTTTATTTATTATTTATTATTTTATTGTTTTTTTTCTGACAGATGGTTCCAAGCAATGGAGGGTTGGGATATTGCACAATGTCGAGGTTGGAAGCTTTAGTGAGCCTTCACTTTTAATTGGAGTTGTAATGGCATTTACAAACTCCCCGAGGTAAACAAGCTGCTAGACTTACTCAGTTGCTTTTAGTGAAGGAAAAGACGATACTGAGAAGTTTGAGGTATCATATGTATTGTGGATTTTAGTGCTTGAGGAATGGGAAGTCTGGTTGTGATTATTTGAGGTCTTGCGGTCAACGAAGTTTTGAAACGTTGAACAATATCACTGATTTTGCTTATACTTACTAAACTCATGTGAATAACATGGAGCGTCGATTTTGTCCAGGTATGGAGATACTGATCGCAAATGGAAGGGTACAATGTTTTTGTTGATAGAATTGAAGCATTTGACTGTGATCAACGGCAAAACTGATTGTCAAGCTGCTGTTGTACAGTTTCTACGGGCTTGCACTGCTGTTAAGGTAAGTTTAACATCTCAAACTGTGAACTTTGTCACTGGTAGTTGAATTATTTGGGGTGGTGAACAAGTTTTTAAGAGCTTCTATTTTACCAGGGCTATCAGTCAAGCGTAGATATTGATGTCGAACCAAGATTAAACAAGTTGATGCAAGGAGGCTTACTAGTAGAAATCTTTCTTTTGTGTAGATCGTTGGGGAGAAGGTTATTTGAAGTGATCTGCCAAGAATCAGGAAAAGAAATCATTCTTTACCTTAAGAGTTCTTCTGGATTTTGTTCTGTTCTTTACAGCTATCTCTGTTCCGAATGAATATACGACCCTTTCAGCATGGGTCGTAATGCATTAGAATTGCGTTTTATATGATTGTAACTATTTTTTATTTTTTTAATTTTTTTTTAATTTTTTTTTTCATTCATGTGAATACTTAAAAACTAAAGGCTTCTGATGCTATTTGATCTTTGCAGTCTGAAACACTGCCCTCAACGCAGTGAAATTCCATCAGTCAGCTGTACGAGGTTAAGTAGAAGAGCGTAATCAATGAGGTTTAAGATAATAGTTCGTCCAACTTGTACCAGGTTATCACAAACCGTGAAGGAAAACAGTTTGTCTCATCTCTGAACTATTGTGTAGTCCCTTTAAATACTAAAAACCCTTTTCCATTTGGGCTCACAACCTCCAGAAACACAACTCTTTTTTACTCCTCTGTGCTGTACAAAAACTAACACCTTTCACATGTGCACAAAAGTCACACCCAGCACTTTTTCTCCACCCCAACAATGGCTTTGGTGCGATGTTGATTAAATAGATTATTTACTGTTGCACCTTTTAATCGAATTTACCTTTAACTGCTTCCATTGAGCAGCGTAGACCGAGAACAAGCTGCTGAGCCATAGAATTGAAAAATGCCCCCAACATTTTTCAATTCACATACCAAATAGCGTTTCGCATCCTCAACATTTCCTTGATTAGCCACCCAGTCCCAACCAATTCAATACTGTTAGCTCCCACACACACACCCACAATCCTTAATGAAGAGGATTGTAGCACCCTGCTTTTCGTCGAGCCATGGGAAAGCATTCATCGTTCACGACGGAAAACGATTGAGGATTAATTCCCAAATTGCAATCACACAGTGAAACAATTGCACAAGAGGAAGCGATCCGTGAAGAATAAGGGATTGAGCGCGGCCGATGGGGTTCCACTCCCCCGTAGCGCGCATCACAAAGTGAAAATTCGCAGATTCTATCCGGTGGAAGAATGGAGCGGGTTTCTAATTGGAACCACAGATACGGGCAGCGATGGCCCCACAAGCGGGCGCGTCGTCGTCTTTTTCGTCACAGGGGGGAGTTAGAATCCCATGGTCCACAGCGAGTTTCGCTTTTTCCAATTGGTGGGCTTATCCCCTGCGCCACCAATGCCCAATCCCCTCCCCTTATCCGCTCCTGCAAGGCTCCTGGCTCTTGTTCCGCAACCCAACTCCAAGGCTCTCTACCCATAACCGTAGCCATTGGTGCGCAAGGTGTATTTCATCTCGTCGTTGTGTGTGACTGGAGACGTGTGCGCAGCAGTCGCAATTTTTCCCCTTTTGTGCACAATCCTTGCTCTCGTCTGAGGGTACCCAATTTGTGAGCGGGGTGGGGAGTGTTACCTGCAGTCATGGCAGCCTCAGTTGCCTCCGTTGGGTGCAAGGTCGCTGCCTCATTGGCCTCGACCACCAAGCTCGAGAAGACCTCCGCTGTTAGGTCGACCTCTGTAAACAACGCCTTCGGCCTCAAGCCCTCCGCCGCCCGCGTCTCCTGCAGCTTAGGTGAGAATGTGAAGAGCGTCGTGGACAGCGCCAAGGCTGCTGCCATCGTCTTGGCATCGTCTGCTCTCGTTGCTGGGGTGAGATCTCTTCCGTATCCTACTATTTAATGCATTCTCTTTTCTCATTCCACGAAGAGAACTCGTTTACTAGTTGGATCACTGCGCGCTGAGGGAGTATCAGGGTTAATTAACTATTATTTCTACGTCACACCGCCCAGATTTTTGCAAAAGAGTGGTCAGATTGGGGCAATAATCATAGTTGAATATAATTTTCAGTGTTTTCGAGTATCTCAATGCTGGTTTTTTCTTCCATTCTGAAACTTATGGGGTTGTACAACTTGCCGTTGGCGATATTGTTACTCTTGTTACTCATACTCCCGATATCATGTGCTCAGGCTTCCTTTGCTGAGGGAGTGCCACAAAGGTTGACCTTCGACGAGATCAACGCCCAGACCTACTTGGACGTGAAGGGCTCAGGAACAGCCAACCAGTGCCCCATTGTTGCCGAGGGTTCCGACAAGTTCAACTTAAAGGATGGCAACTACCAGATGAAGAAGCTGTGTCTCGAGCCCACCTCCTTCACTGTCAAGGCTGAGTCCCAGTTCAAGCAAGGTGGCGAGGACTACCAGCCTACCAAGCTGATGACCCGCTTGACTTACACCTTGGACGAGATTGAGGGTCCATTGACCATCAGCAACGGCAATCTGAAGTTTGAGGAGAAGGATGGCATCGACTACGCTGCCGTGACTGTGCAACTCCCAGGGGGCGAGAGGGTTCCTTTCCTCTTCACCATCAAGGAGTTGGTTGCAACTGGAAAGCCTGAGGCATTCGGTGGATCCTATTTGGTGCCCTCATACAGAGGATCGTCTTTCTTGGACCCCAAGGGCAGGGGTGGATCTACCGGATACGATAACGCCGTGGCACTTCCTGCCGGAGGAGCTGGTGATGAGGAAGAGCTTGCGAAGGAGAATGAGAAGAACACCGCTGCTTTGAATGGAAACATCACCTTTAGCATTGCTAAGTCTAACGTTGAGACTGGTGAGATTGCTGGAACCTTCGAGAGCATTCAGCCATCGGACACTGACTTGGGTTCCAAGGCTCCCAAGGAGGTGAAGATTGAGGGTATTTTCTACGCTCAGGTCGAGTAGAAGGAAGCACATCGTAATTCTGCTCTCTCTCTCTCTCTCTCTCTCTCAGTTTTGGTTGATGTCTATACACAAGTTTTAATGCACCTTTTGTAATGTAATCTGCTCAGTGATTCCGAGTAATTAGTCGATGTCTCGTGCATGTCGGAAAGGAACCTTTTTTGTGTTCATGCACAGGAGTGAAATGATGTGAAGCCAGAGAATATGTGAAAAGTCCACTCCTTTCATAATAATCGCTTTTTTTAATCCAATTCTGTCCGTGTAGTCTCTCGGATTGGGTTGTGATTGCCTACCTTAATTGGGAGATAGCGACGATGTGCATGCAACTAATCTCTAGTAGTGTACTAATGAGCACTTGTCCGTAACAATTTGTTAACTGACAATTCTTAGTCTGTTTAACTTTAATACCAGCAGTGGATGAATAGTTTGTGGAAAATGTGTAGCTTGTTTGTTCAGAACCGCAAGACAAACTCTCGATTTTTAACTGAACAAAAATTATGTAATTTCATGATTGAGCAGGGGTATTTTACTGATTTTTGTAGCAAAAAGAAAAGATGTACCGCTTATTGAAATTCACATTAAAATTCACCTCTGAAAATCTTCAAACGAAGAGAAATTAAAACGAATTTCTGTTCTTGAAAATTAAAACCCTCTTCCTACACAGAAAAAGGCGTCTGTTCAATGTCAGCAAGCGCAACTACAAGACCGTGAAATATACTTCGACTTCTAGCACTTAAATCGTAACATGAAATCTACATGAATTGGTCATAGCATACAAATTCAAAACTAACAAATCAACAGTCATGAAATCCAGTGATACTTATTCCAACAAAATCTTTTCTGGACATGTACTCTCATGCTCAAATTCTCCATGTAAACCAATTACAAATTAGATTCTTACTTTTGTAAAACAGTGAAACAAATCAAAATTGATACGGACACTTTGAATTTACTTTTGCATGTAACTGAAGAAGTAAATATTGTCTAATAAAATTTATACTGTATGCAAGTATATACACCACAAAATAGATAATAAAAAAGTGACAAAAAAATTGTTTCTCATTTGTTATATCCAAAAATAGCAGCCTAAAAATAATCATCAATTATAAATATATATTATATATCTTTCTTTTACTTTGTCACAATCATCTACATTGCTTAAATTATTTAAGCGTTTTTGTATTGAAAAAATAAAAGATAAAACTTTAGGACAAAACTATTAGTGAGTCGTAACACTAATAGTATTGGGTTTTGACCCCAATTATACCTTGAGCTCTTTAAAGACATATTGTCAAGGACAAGAACATAATAAAGACAAATAAACAAGTGAGACTTTTCTCAAAGAAAGATGACAAAATAGAAATAACTTGATATGTATTTAAGAAAGAAACAAGAATGACTATTGCCAAAAGCCAAGAAAAGTAGAGATCCTTGAAACTAGACTCGAAACAAGAAAGGAATTGATAAGAGTGAAGAAGGCTTCACTCTTGTCTATATATATACTATCTTACTAGGGGCTATGTGGCGACATTCTATAGGACCTCCAATATATATTGACTTTGTAGGACACATGCCTTGTCTTACAAGGCAAGTTTTTGTACATGTGGTCCACATAGTTAGCTTGGTCTTCAAGTTAACAACATGTGTGGCACATGGCCAACTTGTTCACCACGTTTCTAATCCCAAAAAGTCAATTAAAGACACCTATAAAGTCAAAGTAATGTTTATGAAGCTTCTAGAAAACTTCCATATCAAATACTATAGAATTAACTTACTTTTACCTACTTGTACTTACTTCTACTTATTTATATATGTAATTATTGGCTTACATGCATATGTCCATGATATTACCCTCCCTTCTCGAGACGAGTTCCATGAAGAGCGGTAGTCATATGTTGAAGAAATCTATGATGCGACGAATTGTATTCGCCATGTACTCTGATCTTTGTTCTCTTCGAAGATGATTGATAGGGCCTCTCAATCATTGGTAGTGTCCTATACCAAAGCGGGAAGACCACCCAATTATTTGATCATTGTTTAGGCCTTCATAACTTCCTTCAAATAAAACATTTGGAACACCATGAGGAGTTGTTCCTACCTTTAGTAAAATCACCAAACATCGGGAGTCCCTTCCCAAATTGTGATACCAAATGCATTGTATCTTGCCATCTATTCGTTCTTGAAGATCTTCATCTCGATTGCGTCGTCTTGAAGGTTGTGACAATCGTAATGTCTTATCCGACAGGTCAACAAATGAAGGCTCTTGAGTCGAATCCACTAGTTGTTGGTTCTCCATCTCCTGAGCGTCACAACTACAAAGAAGCTACAAACAAGGATTGAAAATAGAATGTTATCTTGCCTAGATATTGTTTCTTTTATAAAGAAGGTTTTCATCTTGATTTTGATGGATGTCATCGATGAAAAGCCTCCACCGCCTTTGCTGCATTTGCAAGATTCATTATTGGCTCCTATGTGCATTCACTAATATCATATCCGCGCCAATGGACAAGATATTCCAATTTATTTCGACGCCGCCTTGAATCTAAGACTTCTTCTACTTCAAACTTTTCATTATTGTCCACTTCTATAGAAGGATGTGGAGCTTGTCGTCTTCTTGGTATGTCCACTATCTTGTATGGTTCAAGAAGAGACATGTGGAATACTGGATGGATTTTCATTAACTCAGGTAGATGTAAATGATATGCAACTGGATTGATTTGTACAAAAATAGAAAATGGTCTCAGCCTTCAATAGTCAAACTTGTTACAAGGATGAGTGGTCTTGATATTGCGACGAAGTAGCCATACCTTATCACCCAAGAAGAATGGTGGTTGTTCCTTTTGATAGACATCTGCATTGATCTTTTGTTGTTCTTGAGCCTCTTTTAACTGCGCCTTCATTGTTGCATGTAGCTTTGATGAATGAATTGCCAAATCTTCTGCAATAGGATTATCAACTTTTGAAAAGTCAAAAGTATCGAGTCATAGATAATAACCATAATTATTAAAGAAAGATGTTTATTTTGTAGAAGAATATACCGTATTATTATAAGCAAATTCTGTCAATGGCTAAAGAGTTGTCCAATCATCTTATTGGTAGTTAATGGTACATCTTAAATATTGCTCCAAAACTTGATTAACACGCTCCGTTTGTCCATCAATTTCAGGATGGAATATCGAAGATAGTTTTATATCCACTTTAAGAATCTTGAATAGAGTCCGTTATAATCTTGATACAAATTGAGTTCCTTTATCTGATATAATATCCTTGGATAATCCATGATAGCGATAGATATTGTTAAGAAAGAGCTTAGTTGTTTCTTCACTGTGATAGAGTTTGTACATGGTACAAAATGTGCCATCTTGGTAAAACGATCTACTATCACGAATATAGAGTCATAAAAACTTGAGATTCAAAGATCCGTGATGAAATCCATAGAAATAGAAGACTATGGTTGTTCTAGAATGGGTAATGGCTGCAAAAGTCCGTAAGGTCGATGACGAGGATTTTTTCATCTCGAACAAATATCACAAGATTGTACAAAATCTTTGAATGCTTTCTACATTTGTGGCCACCAAAAGTCCCTGGATATTAGTTCTAAAGTTATATTGTACCCAAAATGACCTGCTGCTGGAAAGTCATGATGACCTTGAAGAACACATAATCAGCTTCATCTTTTGGAATATATAGGCGTCCCTCAAAATATAATAGATTCTTCTTGAATTCAAACTTGGAAGTATCATAAGACTTTGTAGGATTTTTCTTCATATCACGAATAAGAGGATCAGAAGACATACTTGACTGAACTTGCTCAATGAAAGTTGAATCAATAGTTAATGTTGATTTCATTACTCGAAGATAAAGATGCTTTGGCTTGAAGAGAATTGTTTGTTGTTGATCAAAAGCAGCATCTCCTTCCTTTGCTGCAAGGTAAGATCGTCTAGAGAGTGCATCTAACAAACCTTGTTGTTTTCCTAGTTGATAAGTGATCTTGAATTCGAATCTTCACAAAGACATAGTTCAACGGGCTTGGCGACAATTCAAAACATGTACTAACATAAAATATTCAAGATTCTTGTGATCTGTATACATTGTGAGTGGGCCAGAAGCACCTTTTAGATAATGGCACCAATCTTGAAACGAATCGACGATTGCAAGAAGTTCTTTCTCGTGGATCTCGTAATTGATCTCGGCTGCTGAAAATTTTCTAGAATGAAAAGCTATTGGATGAAGTTTATTATCTATTCCCAAAGCAAAGTTTGATGAGTCTGTTTCCATAAAAAATAGCTTAAAAAAATCAACGCAATATAAGATTGGTACAGAAACAAAGGTTGTCTTCAAAGCTTCAAATGCTACTTTTCCTTCTTAATTCCATTGAAGTTTGTCTTTGCAAGTCAAACGTGTAAGTGGAGCTGCAACTTGAGAAAAGTCTTTGATGAAGATCCGATATTAGTTGACAAATCCTAAAAAACATTGGACATCTCTTACCATTTTTTGGATCTTCCAATCCATAATAGTTTGAACTTTCTTAGGATCCATCATAAGTCCATCATTTGAAATGATGTATACTAAGAAGTCGACTTGAGTAGTGTGAAATACAGACTTTTCTATCTTGGCATAGAGTCCTACATCTCTTAATTTTTGTAATACTTGGTAAACATGAAGTTCATGTTCTTCTAAGTTCTTAGAATAGATTAAGATGTCATCTAGATAACATACAATAAAATCATCTAAAAACTCCCAAAAGACATCATTCATTAGATGTTGAAATACTGTTGGTGCATTTGTAAGTCCAAAAGGCATGATGTTGTATTCAAAATATCCATACCTTGTTCCAAATGCAGTCTTCCATTCATCTCTTTCTTTGATGTGTATCAAATTGTATGCTCTTCATAGATCTATTTTTGTATAGATCTTAGCTTGATTCAACTCATCAAGAAGTCCAAATATCAAAGGTAGTGGGTACCTGTTTTTGATAGTGATTTTGTTGAGTCCTCGATAATCAACACACATTTGCAATGATCCATCTTTTTTCTTTACAAATAAAATTGGAGCTCCTATTGGAGATTTGGAATGGCATATGAAGTTCTTGGCCAAATTTTCTTCATTATACTCTTTGAGTTCAGCCAACTCTTTTTGAGATAAATTATAGATTGGTCCAAATGGCGGTTGTGCTCCTTCTTGAAGGTCAATTGAGGAGTCATAGGAACGATGTTCTGGAAGAATATCCACATTTTTTTCTCAAATACATCTTAAAAATCTTAATATTGGCTTAGAATGCCACTTGAAGTCTTTTCA